TTTTGTCTCAGATTTGATAGAATAGAATGCCCAAAAATGCTTGGGATTTTCCTGGAAGTTTTCCAGACAGACTGAAGATACTGATGATAGCCTGAATTCATAAGCTTTTTAGTTTTCCTTCTAAGATCCTTAAATTTCAGAAATAAATCAGCAGATCCATTAGTCTTTAAATGTTTCCAAAGTTTCTTCTTCTTCGTAATTAATTTCATAATTTCATTATCAATCCAAGGAGGCCTCGAACCTCATTTCAGAGTTCTTTGTGGTATGTGGTGGTCGATTGCACGAAATAACATATCCTGAAATTTATCTAAACATGTGTCGATACTAGTGTCTGATGTTACCAGGTCCCAGGGATGGGTTCTTAATGTCTCACGCAGACATTAAAGTCTCCTGATCTGTAACAATAAACTTTACGTTGAGCATTTCTTGGCCTTGTTTTCTTAACATGTAACTCGAATGTTAGAGGGTGATGATCAGAGTCAAAGGCATTTGAATGTACCAAGATGTCATCGACAAGCAACTCATCGTTGGTGAGCACAAGATCAAGGATGTTTCCATGGGAGCCAGGATTACTAGTATTACGAGTCACATGAAGATTCTTCTGCAGAAGAAAGAAATCATCCAGAACATTACAGAACTCCACAGTTTCAGGATCAGACCCAGTGGGACATCCAAGGTTCCAATCGATGTTAGGAAAATTGAAGTCACCTACAACTACTAAGTTTATTAAGCCAGCGCCTGAATATTTATCCAGGAAAGATCTAAAATCAGCCAAGAATGATTCATCTGCATTCGGAGGTCTGTAAAAACAACGCGAAAAGAATACTACAAGTAGGATTTGGATGGGTTTCAAGAGCTAATATCTCAGATTCCATTTCCAGGTCTGTTCTTCATATGCGAGAAATCTGATCTTTGATAGCTAGAAGCACTCCACCAACGCGACGATTAGACCTGTCCTTCCTAAAGATATTGTAATCATTAAGATGAAGTTCAGAGTCAAGAAAATTATCATCGAGCCAGGTCTCGGTCAATGCAATGATATCCATGCAGTCGGTAAGCAATAATGCCTGTAAATCAAACACCTTTTTCCATATACTTCGGGCATTCAAAACCAAGACTTTAGGAAACAGGCTTCACCTGCTGGTAGTAATAATATCGGTAGGATTAGACTCCAGTGGGATGGTGACACAAGCCTCCTCGCTGGTAACAGGTTCCTTCAAGAACGAATCCATGAAGTTGAATGGAGAAGAGCAATTCATACAGAGAAATGTGTGATCAGAAGAACTCAACTCCCTATACAATCCATGGTCCATATTTATACACTTAATGTGATGCCATTTACCCTAACCGTCGCACAAAATTCCTTTCTGGTTCGC